AACGCTCATGATGCTTTCAGCGTATCCGGGCGTGTGCGGAGGAAACATGGGAGACGCCATGGGCGTCTTGCCAAACATAGGGGAAGCCAGTGGGTTTCCGTATGTCGACGCTGTTGGCGAAAGGGGGGCTTGCTCATGCTGGATGGGATTGGGGCCCTTGGGAAACTCCCACTGGGTCGCCTGCGTCGCCAGATGGATATAATAGTACTGACCTGAGTTCTGATCGAGATGGGCAATCCATCCTTCAGGCAAAGGCGGAGGCGAGGCCGGCCCGGCCGCTGCGAGATTCGGAGGCACAGAAATAACCTGAGTATGCTGAATGACTGGCTCGGGTCTGGGATCGTTTGCAAACGCAGGATGGCCCTGGTTATGGGGAGCCGCAGAGCTGAGGCCGGCAGCAGCAGCAGCAGTGGCTGCCGCCGTAGCCGCGGCCACTACAGTATCTTTGACTGGCGGCGCGGAAGCGGACGCAGAAGCTTGGAACGGAACACCGGCTGGGATAGCAGAGGGGCCGGGCGTTTGGTTGGCTTGCTGTGGCCGCTGTTTCTCATTAGGATAGGACGATCTCCCGCTGGGGTTTACACTCGAGTAAGCTGGCGGAGGAGAGCTGGTGGACATGCGCTGGAAATCTTGCTCCAGGACACTGACTTGAGGCGGAGCGTTGCCCTGGTTCTGAGCTGGGTGTTGCTGAGGAGGAGGGCTGCTGACTGGGTGCTGCGGCTGGGGAGAAGAAACGGGGTTCATGCCCTGGTATACAGTTGGAGGACCCGACGGGGCCTGATCGGGAGACTCTGTAGGCGTCCAGGGTCGCTGGGGTTGGGGCTGCTGGTTGTTGTAATGTGCCAGCCTTTGCGCGGCCGCGGCACTCTGAACCTGGGCGGTTTGGAGGCTGGTGAGGGTTGCCGTGCCCGAGATGCCCGACGCCGCATACCGGGCCTCGATGCCGCCTCCTGGCACGCTTCCGGGTCCTACGATGGGAGTCTCCGGGGGCGGAGGCGAGCCCCGGCTGGCTCTGGTAGTCGAGTTGGATGCCGTAGAAGCGAAACGATTGACACCGGAATCAGCGGCAGCCAGATGGTCCGCCTGGGGGACCTTGGGAGGCTGCTGCGGCGCATGGGGCTGAGGCTGCTGGTAGTGCTGCGGCTGCTGGTATTGCTGAGGCTGCGCTGAAGCGCTGCCCGATGGTCCGGACGAAGCTGCTCCCGGCGGCGGGTAGTACGTCTTCTGGTAGGTCGGGTAGTTTGTCGTTGAGGCGGCAGGCTTGTCCTGCAACGGTTTCGCAAAGAGGCCATAGTCGGTATCAGGGCTGGAGGGAGAGTGGATGGGCTTGGGCGCTGCACCTCGCCTCTCGGCCAGACCAGGCTTCTTCTCGGCGCCGACATTGGTGTCCAGTCTCGGGCTCGTATCGTTGTAGGAAGGGTCGTTGTAGGCAGAGCCGTAGGGCTTGGGGGCAGTCGGCTTTGGAACAATCGGCTTGTGAATGTCGTCGTCATCTGGGAACGGCAAGGGCGCCGCAGAGCTCGACGCACCCGGAGGCAGCGGGAAGGTCGGTCTGTTGGAGGAGGTCGAGGACACGCGAGAATAAGGCTCGGGGCTCTGAGGCTTGAAGATGCGCAACGGCTCGACCGTCGGGCTGTCGCAGTCTTCTGGCGCGGGCTTGCTCAGGAACAGCTCCGAATCGGGGACGCCACGGCTGCGCTCCATCTTGATTCGATCACGAGGAGAGACTCTATGCTACCTAATGGATAAGAGTCATCCGAACCGTCAGCCAAATGCACGTAGCCAGCTGAGTCAATGGAGGAGGTGAAGGTGCGTACTCGTATCAGAGGTGAAGATGGCGGCGGCGGGGAAAACCAAGGTTGGAGCGCTCTACAAACAGTCGTCAAACGCTCTAGTAGCCGCTGCAGAAGTTAAGAGCAAAAGC